GAATAGGAGACTGTGTGTGTGTGTGTGTGTGTGTGTGTGTTTGTGTGTGTGTGTGTGTGTTTGTGTGTGTGTGTGTGTGTGTGTGTTGGAGGGCGTGGTGTTGTGGACGTGGACGTGGGTGGTGCTGTGGGTGTGAATCCTTGTGGGGATGTCATGTACACCACACCAGGCACGTGCCTCTCGGTGTACATTCCGCCACGCACACACATACACCACACCATGCAGGTGTCTTTTAATGTACATGCCAATACGTACACAGTACATGCCAGTACACACCACATGTACACCACACGATACAGACACCTTACCGCCACGTCTATTTTTTTTCTACAATGTTCCATTTAAATGCCAGAATAATTAACCGGACTTGTATCCTGGATATGGGAATTAGAGTACCTGCGCTCTGAGAGGTGGAGATGTTATAGTTCAGGTCGTCATTGAAACTGTAATATCGCCATGCTTCTGGTAAGACAGCTATTGAAGGAATGATGGTGAATGTGTTTCTTCTTTTTTTTTTTTTTTGCTCGGCTCTACCTTGTTGGGAGGCGGCCGGTACGTTAAAAAAAATTATATACAAATTTTTCATAACGAAGAAACTAGTGATGATGAGAAACAGGTTGAGTGTTGTAACACAGGTCAGATGAGAGATGAGTTTCCTAGGCAGGCAGGTAGTGAGGAATGTGTCTCAGTGTCCGTCACTTGGTATGTGATGTGTCCTCGTACACTGTCTCCAGTGTTATAGTCACCTTGAGTCATGTGATGTGTCCTCGTACACTGTCTCCAGTGTTATAGTCACCTTGAGTCATGTGATGTTGTCCTCGTACATCTGTTCTCCAGTGTTATAGTCACCTTGAGTCATGTGATGTGTCCTCGTACACTGTCTCCAGTGTTATAGTCACCTTGAGTCATGTGATGTGTCCTCGTACACTGTCTCCAGTGTTATAGTCACCTTGAGTCATGTGATGTGTCCTCGTACACTGTCTCCAGTGTTATAGTCACCTTGAGTCCACTGAAGAAGCTGTTGTGTAGGCCAGACTTTGTCGCTAATAAAGTTAAGCAGTGTTGTCAGTCTTTATATTTTATCACTTTAACTTTTTTCATATTGTGTTAAATACAATTATATTTACTTTTAAATATCTGACGATGAAAACAATGATTATCCAAACATAAATATTCTGTTGTTTATACCAACGCTGATTTTATTGTTCCTGCAATATATATGCTTCACGATATATATATATATATATATATATATATATTAATATATATATATATATATATATATATATATATATATATATATATATATATATATACTGTAGATAATTTAGAATAGTAAGGAAAAATAGTTTCTTAGAGGAAATGAATCTCATTACATTAATTTCGTAATTCAGTCCCTAAGTGGATGCAGACACTCAGGAACCTCTAAGGGGATGACGATAAACCCCAGAGTAATGCATGAATCTGTTGATGTTTCCGGAGGATTCTGGTCCCTGGGGCTGTCTCAGGTCAGGACTCCTGGTTGATAGCATGGCTATTCACTATGTTGGTAGTATCTGCTGGTAGTCTCACCTAGGCGGCGCCACAACCTGGCAGAGCAGGTACTGCCTGAAGGGACCTCTCAGGGCTCCTCTTGAAAACACGAATCTGTGGGTAATTAAACCATACCCCCGGCCGGGATTGAACCCGCGGTCATAGAGTCTCAAAACTCCAATCTCGCTTAATGTATGACGAAGCATTGATGTATACTTTAGAGGTAAACGTAGTTTAAAGTTTGGTTTTATTATGTGTTATGGTGGTGGGTGTTAGGGTGCCAGCAGTTATGTTGTTATAATGCTCTCTTAGCTTCCTGGAACTCCAGCCTCCAGTAACATGGCTCTACAATCTACGTCACATTAATATGCAATCAAAATTGATTTTATCACGGCTCGGCGAAACTACTATGTACAAATTGAGTATCTTTCACGCCTCCGCCTTCATTTGAAGACATGTTGTAGGAAATACGATGATTGAGAGGTCTTGATGCACGTCTAGATAAGCGTTCTCTCATGTTTTATGTGAGGTGAACATACTGATTTTCCGTGGGGCTCCTTGTGAGCCGTTTTGTGTAATTCCGGTTGGAGTTGTTAGTGGGTGGGGAGGGAGGGAGGGATGATAATGGTGGTGGTGGTGGTTCTGGTACTGGTGGTGGGTTGGTGGGGTAGGGTGGGCTGGAGAATATGAGTAAGGCTTTGCCCTCCCTGATCATCATAGAAATGTGTCATTGTTAAGAGACAAATCTTCCTCAATTACTTCTTAGTTCCGCCCTCCGCTGCATTCTCCCCCCCTCTCTCTCTCTCTCTCTCTCTCTCTCTCTCTCTCTCTCTCTCTCTCTCTCTCTCTCTCTCTCTCTCTCTCTCTCTCTAACTCCCCATCCTTTGGTCTTGCTCTGCCCTGCGTCTCTCTCAGCCTTCATCACTACCACTTGTGTTGTATCTAATCTGGTTACATACAAAAGTCTCGCCAAACATTGACACAATCCCAGGCACTTGCTATCTGCACTTACTGAATTATAAGTGCATAGTTATTATGCCGAGACCCTGTATATGTGGTGTGTTTGTTCAGTGATATATAGTAGCCATCGTTTATTCGAACCCAGTGTTTAATTATTGTAGTATATGAATGGTATGCAGTACCGACAAGATGAAGAATTAGACACATGTCCAACATCTGGGTATCGTTATTTGTAGACATTTCGCCATCCAGTTGCTTTATCAATACACTATCAGGACATAATATAAAGACTGTAGAGCTATATACAAAAGATGAGGTAATCAGTCCCTCAGCCTTGGAGTTGAAGATCACCGTAGTCTTGATGTTGTGGCAGTGTATAGGTCAGGTGCTTAGTCTTCCAATTTTCTCCAGGTATATGTTATTGGAACGCTTTCACCTACAGTAAACTCTCCCATCAGTAGTGATAAACGTTATTTGAACGTTTTTTCATTTTATTTTTTCTCGACCACTTCGTTGCAAGGGCAAAGGGGTGAAGGGGCACGACGAATACACTATGAGAGAACTTGACAGTGTCAGAGGTGCCCGATTCTTCAACGTCCTTCCTTCGTGCATGCGGGAAACTACCAACAAACCTCTGGCTGTCTCCATGAGGGAAGCTGACAAAGTCCTCAAATCAGTGCTTAACCAACTTGGCTGTGGTTCGTTCGTTGACCTGCGAGCGACCGGCGGTAACAGCTTGGGAGGCCTGGTCTGTTACCGGGCCGAGAGGGGCGTTGACCCCCCCCCCCCCCAAAAAAAAAAGCGTCTTTCAGGTTGCTAGAAGTATCGTGGCGTGTTTTTTCTGATTTTCTAATTTGGGGTTAAAATTTGTTTTATTACCCTATATAACCTGACCCATCCTCATCTAATCTAAGTATTAGAGAACGTTTGAAAACTAACGTTGAAAAAAATGTTAAAAAAAGACTATTTGAATGCGAAGGTGTTATCACATGAGAGAGTAGTAGCTCCTGAGTACTCTGAGGCGTTCCCAGTAGTTTAGATAGTTTTACTAAGCTTATCATCGCAGTGATTATTTGTATATTTTCTAGCTTGTGTATCTCATCCACCTTGATGATGTTAAAACAACAGTATTCTTAATGTTACAACAATATTCTTGATGTTACAACTGTATTCTTGATAATGTTGCAACAATAGTACTCCTGATGATATTAAAACAATAGTACAACAGTATTCCCTATGATGCTAGAACAACAGTATTCTCTATGATGCTAGAACAACAGTATTCCCTATGATGCTAGAACAACAGTATTCCCTATGATGCTAGAACAACAGTATTCTCTATGATGCTAGAACAACAGTATTCCCTATGATGCTAGAACAACAGTATTCCCTATGATGCTAGAACAACAGTATTCTCTATGATGCTAGAACAACAGTATTCCCTATAAATGCTAGAACAACAGTATTCCCTATGATGCTAGAACAACAGTATTCCCTATGATGCTAGAACAACAGTATTCCCTATGATGCTAGAACAACAGTATTCTCTATGATGCTAGAACAACAGTATTCCCTATGATGCTAGAACAATAGTATTCTCTATGATGCTAGAACAACAGTATTCCCTATGATGCTAGAACAACAGTATTCCCTATGATGCTAGAACAACAGTATTCCCTATGATGCTAGAACAACAGTATTCCCTATGATGCTAGAACAACAGTATTCCCTATGATGCTAGAACAACAGTATTCCCTATGATGCTAGAACAACAGTATTCCCTATGATGCTAGAACAACAGTATTCCCTATGATGCTAGAACAACAGTATTCCTATGATGCTAGAACAACAGTATTCCCTATGATGCTAGAACAACAGTATTCCTATGATGCTAGAACAACAGTATTCCCTATGATGCTAGAACAACAGTATTCCTATGATGCTAGAACAACAGTATTCCCTATGATGCTAGAACAACAGTATTCCCTATGATGCTAGAACAACAGTATTCCCTATGATGCTAGAACAACAGTATTCTTTATGATGCTAGAACAACAGTATTCCCTATGATGCTAGAACAACAGTATTCTTGATGACGCTAGAACACAAGAGTACTGTTAACGGGAGTGCCTTAAAGAGTGCCATCATTGGTGTGACTTCTGTTGTTGTAAAAGTTGTCATGATACATAATATCAGTGTCGAATAACCTTAATATTCTTGTCACTTCATTTCTGTGACATGATATGGATGTATTTTCTTTGTTCTTATTGTGAGTTATTCGTTTCAATGTATCGGGGGTAGGGTGTGTGTGTGTGTGTGTGTGTGTGTGTGTGTGTGTGTGTGTGTGTGTGTGTGTGTGTGTGTGTGTGTGTGTGTGTGTGTGTGTGTGTTGTCTATGATCGCCACTCATCACATGTGTGGTGAGTGCTACGTGAGTGGTGATGAGTGTCTCTTCGTGTGTGAGTGATCCGTGAGTGGTGTTTAACTAGTGCCTCCCACTCCCTCAGTGGGTGGGTGAGTGGGTGCTGGAACCACCATCGACACAGGCCGCCACTACACGCACCCCGCCGCCACTCTTCCACCCCGCCACTGCTGCCGCCACCGCTGATGCCACCTCCGCCTCCGTGGTCAAGCTTGCCTTTACTCCTGCGGTAATTATATACTTCTGTTTTCCTGGTATCACCTGAGGCTTGCTTCCCTGTGTTCGTTCCCTGTGGGATCCACATATCCTGCTGCTGGCAATAGTCAAGACATGTTGCTCAACAAACGTTTCTTGGGGCAACGTTTCGCTCAATGTAGAGCTTTAACGCGACTTGATTATTAGGCTCTACACAGGGCGAAACATTAAAGCTTGTTCTGCAACGTTTGTCTCTTCTTCATCACCCCGTTGTGGTTGGCGGACTTGTTAAAAACGTGTTTCATGTGGGAGGTATTGTGTTGTGTTGACCAGAGTGTATGGTGTTAACTGCTGTGTTTTGTGTGTTATAACACTCAGTGCCCGAGTACCAAGTATCTGTTGTGTTACCTGAGTGTATGGTGTTAACTGCTGTGTTTTGTGTGTTATAATACTCAGTGGCCGAGTACCAAGTATCGGGTTGTGTTGACAAGGACACACTCCCAAACTTCCACTGGGACAATATTTGTGTCAGTGTAGAGCTTTATCAAGCCATTACTGGGTAAGCTCTACTGTGAACACTTTACTTCACGGTTTTTCATAGAGTAAATACACTGAGAAGAATGCAGAAATTGAGAACCCGCTTTACAAGATACAAAACCACGGTGGGAGTTGATTGATAGCTCTAGGCCTTTCTTGTTGCAATCAACACATCAGGAGTTTATAATATTGCAGAAAAGATGGTGAAGTTGAAGTAAATACGATCAGAGGAATGTTGTGATAGTTCAAGCAGACACACACGTTCACTCTGATCGTACTTGCTTCAACACCCTCCTCTTGTCTGCAGTATTGCAAGCTCCTGATATGTTGATTGCAACACGAAAGGCCTAGAGCTATCATTCAACTCCGCCCTTGTTTGTTTTGCACACTGAGAAGTGTATGTCTCTCAGTATATTTATACTGACAGTTCAGTCCCTGTTTTAAGTTTTAAAGTATTCTTGACCGGTGGTGAACAGGTTACATAACCGTCGTACAGTCGATAGGCTTTAAACCACATTAACCTAACCACCGGTACTAGACGTGTTGCCACGCCTACCATACCTTTCAATCCTGCAAAAATGCACATGGGAATTTTTCCCACTAGTTAGGTTACCATATATAGAAATTTTGTTGTGGTTGTAGTAAGGAACAGTGTTACTTGTCTGATGATTGGCTTGTGTTGCGGTGTTACTTGTCTGATGATTGGCTTGTGTTGCGGTGTTACTTGTCTGATGATTGGCTTGTGTTTCGGTGTTACTTGTTTGATGATTGGCTTGTGTGTTGCGGTGTTGCTTGGTTGATGATTGGCTTGTGTGTTGCGGTGTTGCTTGGTTGATGATTGGCTTGAGTTTCGGTGCTGTTGATGATTGGCTTGTGTGTTGCGGTGTTGCTTGGTTGATGATTGGCTTGTGTGTTGCGGTGTTGCTTGGTTGATGATTGGCTTGTTTACTGATTGTTGACGGTGTGTTGCGATGTTGCCAGGTGCATCCAAGCTTGTTTTGCCGTTGATATTTTTATGGTGGTACCTTGATGCTACTAGTGGGCTCTTGATCTTCCTCACATCAAACCTTACAACGTCGCATCCCCTCCCCCCCATTCCCAACCCCGGCACTGCTTCCTGGTTACGAGTTACTACCCTGTGTGTGTCAGTGTACTCATATGTGGTTGCAGGAGTTGAGTCACAGCCCTGGTAAAATTATATATATATATATATATATTTTATATATATATATAATATATATATATATATTATATATTATATATATATATATATATATATTAGTGTGGGAGAGGACTTTAAAATATGTATTTAGTGTGGAGAGGTATATTTCTATGTATATACACCAAGAGGTATATATCTGTGTATATATACCAAGAGGGCCTGGTGGTTAACGCTCTCGCTTCACACGGTGAGGGCCTGGGTTCGATTCCCAGCCAGAGTAGAAACATTGGACGTGTTTCTTTCCACCTGTTGTCTATGTTTCCCATCAGTAAAATGGGTACCTGGGTGTTAGTCGACTGGTGTGGGTCGCATCCTGGGACACTGACCTAAGGAGGCCTGGTCACAGACCGGGCCGCGCGGGCGTTGACCCCCGGAACTCTCTCCAGATAAACTCCAGATAAACTCCAGGTATGTAACTTAGGGATTAAAGTAATCGTGAATAAGCCACATGCAGTCGATAGGCTTTAAACCTAGCAAAAGATCATTTTTTTCCACCTTGAAGCCTAATTAATGGGTGTGGAAAAAGGTGGAAGGCGTAGTTGTAGGGCATACGTGGAGGGCGTAGGTGGAGGACGTAGTTGGAGAGAGGATCGCCGTAAAACATTGCCGCCGTCCGTGCGTCTCCACATCCCCACTTGACCCAGTTCGACTCTCACCGCTTCTCTAAATAGGTCATGGTGAATGTAATAAAAGTTGTGTTTAATGTAAAACATCACTAATACTGTTCTCAGGGTTGAAGTTGTTAGCAGTGTTACTACACTGTCAGCAGGAAGTTGTCAGCAGTGTTACTACACTGTCAGCAGGAAGTTTTATAGCAGTGTTACACACTGTCAGCAGGAAGTTTTTTAGCAGTGTTACTACACTGTCAGCAGGGAAATTGTTAGCAGTGTTACTACACTGTCAGCAGGAAGTTGTTAGCAGTGTTACTACACTGTCAGCAGGAAGTTGTTAGCAGTGTTACTACACTGTCAGCAGGAAGTTGTTTAGCAGTGTTATACAAATGTCAGCAGGAAGTTGTTAGCAGTGTTACTACACTGTCAGCAGGAAGTTGTTAGCAGTGTTACTACACTGTCAGCAGGAAGTTGTTAGCAGTGTTACTACACTGTCAGCAGGAAGTTGTTAGCAGTGTTACTACACTGTCAGCAGGAAGTTGTTAGCAGTGTACTACACTGTCAGCAGGAAGTTGTTAGCAGTGTTACTACACTGTCAGCAGAAAGTTGTTAGCAGTGTTACTACACTGTCAGCAGAAAGTTGTTAGCAGTGTTACTACACTGTCAGCAGAAAGTTGTTAGCAGTGTTACTACACTGTCTGAAGTATGAATGAAATGTTTATAATTCACCGTCAACTTTCTCATATTCAGTTTCCGGTTCCCAAGTACGTGGGAAGAGTGAACGGGAGTCCCACGATAATGTGGGGGGAGCAGATTAACACTGGACGAGCCACTCCATACCTCTCTCTCCTCCCCAGGTGACCTACCTCCCTGGAAGCTCTTTAAGAGTATATCCTAGGATATACTCTTAAAGAGAGTATATCCTAGAACATTTCTGTGTGGCCTAGTTTTTATTTTTAGGTGTGGACAACCTTGGTGTAGTAGGGCAGCGGATGTTGAACCTCTGAGTGGGTCTTCATCTGATAAGACCGGGGACAATGTCTTGTGTCCTGACGAATAAAACACCACCACCACCGTCTTACTGGAAGTAGTGTAGAATATACCTAGTGACGAGCAGGGGTGCCATGAGCTTCTTCTTGGGGTTAGAAAGTTTGTCTTGGTGTGGAACTGGCTGCCCTAATTGGAGAGGAGATAGTCACAGGATGGTCAGAAAGTGAAGTGGGTTGGATAAGGTGGTGATGGAAGCATATTTAATACACAGCTTCAAGAGTGGGTATGATTCACGGACGAATGCCAGAAAGCAGCATTGGTGGTTGGAGGTAGTCTAGGGGACAGAGTCTGCAGCTGAGACTCGACCCACCCCCCGCAAGCTGGGCACCATTGGTTGCTTGTGATGTGTCTTCCCAAGAGGAAGGGGGAAGGGGTGGTTATGTGCTTAAGAGTATGTGGAGGGAGCGAGGGAGGGGTGTCTGTGTGCCTCAGTCTGTGGAGCAAGGGGGCTGTGTACTTCAGTCTGTGGAACAATGGGGCTGTATACTTCGGAGTCTGTGGAGCAAAGGGGCTGTGTCATTCAGAGCCTGTGGAACAAGGGGGCTGTGTGCTTCAGAGTCTGTGGAGGAAGGAGGGGGGGGCTGGGTTGTGTACCTCAGGGTCTGTGGGGACTAGGTGGTGGTGGTGTGGGCTTCAGGGTCTGTACGGACAGGGTGGTGGTGATGTGGGCCTCAGGCTCTGTGGGGGACAGGGTGGTGGTGGTGTGGGCTTCAGGGTCTGTGGGGGACAGGGTGGTGGTGGTGTGGGCTTCAGGGTCTGTGGGGCACAGGGTGGTGGTAGTGTGGGTTTCAGGGTCTGTGGGGGACTGGGTGGTGGTGGTGGTGTGGGCTTCAAGGTCTGTGGGGGACAGGGTGGTGGTGGTGTGGGCCTCAGGCTCTGTGGGGGACAGGGTGGTGGTGGTGTGGGCTTCAGGGTCTGTGGGGGGCATGGTGGTGGTGGTGTGGGCTTCAGGGTCTGTGGGGGACAGGGTGGTGGTGGTGTGGGCTTCAGGGTCTGTGGGGGAACAGGGTGGTGGTGGTGTGGGCTTCAGGGTCTGTGGGGACAGGGTGGTGGTGGTGTGGGCTTCAGGGTCTGTGGGGGACAGGGTGGTGGTGGTGTGGGCCTCAGGCTCTGTGGGGGACAGGGTGGTGGTTGGTGTGGCCTCAGGCTCTTTGGGGGACAGGGTGGTGGTGGTGGTGTGGGCCTCAGGGGTCTGTGGGGGACAGGGTGGTGGTGGTGTGGGCTTCAGGGTCTGTGGGGGACAGGGTGGTGGTGGTGTGGGCTTCAGGGTCTGTGGGGGACAGGGTGGTGGTGGTGTGGGCCTCAGGCTCTGTGGGGGACAGGGTGGTTGGTGGTGTGGGCTTCAGGGTCTGTGGGGGACAGGGTGGTGGTGGTGTGGGCCTCAGGCTCTGTGGGGGACAGGGTGGTGGTGGTGGTGTGGGCCTCAGGCTCTGTGGGGGACAGGGTGGTGGTGGTGTGGGCCTCAGGCTCTGTGGGGGACAGGGTGGTGGTGGTGTGGGCCTCAGGCTCTGTGGGGGACAGGGTGGTGGTGGTGTGGGCCACAAGAGTCTGTAGTAAATTACTGAGTTATAAATATGACTTAATTATGCATGACGCTCATGAACTTGAGGAAGA